GCCGGTAAATGTTATTTAATACTGTTTATTATAAACAGAGCATTTACTTAAATACTTGTATCTATAAAAAGAACGTTAAACATAAAAATGTATTTAATATATATATATATATATATATATATATATGCACGATTAACTGCATTCAAATGTTTTTTTACACATTTTACACTTCGACGTTGATTACGTCACAAATGACTTTCAAGACCTGCAAGAGACTTCGAGTTCTTTCGTCATTGCTGACATGTAACACTTCCTGATGCCGAAATGTCGTGTGAGTCCGCTGACTGAACGACACACTTTATGGCAGATTGTGCATGAATGATCATCGGGGATGTCATATTGGTAGTTGACATCACGATGACTCCACGTGTGCCTGAGAAGACTGGCTTTTGATAATGAAATTGTTCACATGTAAGAGACATTGTCGGTACGCGTGCTGCGAGAGGGTTGACGCCTATCATATATCTGCACGTTTTGGTTGAGCATATTCTATCTTGCTGTTCTCAAAATTATTAACACCAGTAACTACCAGATTTAATATTTAAGTAAATGCTCTGTTTATAATAAACAGTATTAACAACATTTACCGGCCTGAATGTCCGAGAGATTGCCATAGAAAATATGCGTCCTCCGACAGGAATCGAGCCTGTATACTATACGGAACCGTCATATAACCTGACGTGCTTTTACCAATTTCCCCACAGAGGAGCGTTTCGGTTAGCAAGGTCGATTTTACTGTTTTTAAACTACAAGTTTCTATGACATTCTCATGTACATTCATATCTGCTCGATGCGTATCCAAATGTAAACAAATGACGTCACACATTATGAAATGTCCATTGTGTGTGCGTGTGTGTATACATATATATATATATATATATATATATATATATATATATATATATATATATATATATATATATATACCTCCCCCACACATATATATATATATAGAGAGAGAGAGATAGATAGATAGATAGATATATTTATGTATATAAATATATATAAATTGGTTTAAAAAATAATGCAGTTTCCTTTTCCTTTATTAAAAAGTTCGATCTCTAGGCCGGTAGATATTATTTTCATCGCGCAAAATAAAGTAAGGTCTACTCAAAAACGTGTTCCACATTAAATATAAGGTTTATAATAATACGAAATACGTATGATTGTGTATACCTATGAATGCGGATATGTGTGTTTGTGCGTGTATATATGTGTGTGTGCATCGTCATAAGTTGACATAGATCTAAATTTTATGACTGTGTGTGTGAGGTACTTAAAAGAACGGAGATTTTATAGGAGTTAGTTTATAGCTTTTGCATATCACTGTCAGTCGTAAACGTTTTCTCGTTTAAATATCTAATCTAAATCTATATACGTATAACTTATGCGTGTATACGTGATACATACATACATATATATAAAAGAGAGACATTTTTAAAAAATTTATGAAGGTACAATCACTGGTGAACATACGCACGTATCCAGATATGTCTGAAGTCAATCTGTACAGAACCTTTCACCGATGTCGGTTCTCGAATATTTTTCTTTTTAATCGTTGTTCGGGTAGCATTTTTTTTTTCCTTTATCAAAAGACTTTTTTTCCCATTCTCACGCTGTGGATGCATGAGTGAACGTATTTAACGCCTCTTAGAAGAAGAAATTAATGTAAGCAGGGCGTAAAAGTCTGTCGGTGTGAATAAATTTCTCTTCTTTTCTCACCTTTTAGGATTTGGAGAGAAAAAATTTGACGAAGGGTAAGCCATCAGATGATGACCTGCCTTGACTTAATCTTCCGGACGGCCATTACATTTTCGCAGGGAATCAGTATAGGTGGGCGCGTATTTTCTCGATTATTCAGGCCGGTAGATGTAAATAAATAAATATACTGTTTAATAAATAAATAATTAAGAGAGCATCTATTCAAATATGAGTATCCATTTAAAATAAAGTTTAAATAAATGAATCCAGTTCCTATATATATATATATATATATATATATATATATATATATGGGTGTGTGGAGGGTGCGTGTGCAAGGTCGATTTTACAAGTTCCTATATATATATATATAT